AGGTTATGCTGAAATCGGACCAAAACTGTAGGAGGAGTAGCATTTTGAAAGTATTTCATAGAAATTTCTATTTTTAGTAACCATGGCAACACCGTTCATTGGATTCAAAAACCGATACACAGAATTATGTATCTTAGTGTAGTCTACTTGTGTCCCAAGTTATATTGAAATCAGATCAAAACTGTAGGAGGAGTAGCATTTTGAAAGTATTTCCCAGAAATCTCTATTTTTAGCAACCATGGCAACACCGTTCATTGAAATCAAAAACCAATATACAGAATTATGTATCTTAGTGTAGTCTACTTGTGTCCCAAGTTATATTGAAATCAGACCAAAACTGGAGGAGTAGGGTTTTAAAAAATTGTTTACAGACGGACAGACAGACAGCAGACGGACGGACGACGGACACCTTACTATCGCATAAGCTCTTCTGGTCTCTGACCAGTAGAGCTAACAATGATAAGCTCTTGATAATAACATTTTAACATTTTCAAAATTTACAAAATTTTATCAAAAATACAATTTTTAATGTAAAATCAAGAAAGAAAAAGAAACTGGACCCGAGAACATAAAACAGACTTAGATGAAACATAAAGATAATGAACAGTAATCAAGCTCAAAAGTTCATTGAAACAATACAAATCGTGAGCTCGAGAAGAGCAAACAAAGACTTCTAAGAACATCAAAGGGGGCAACCTTAATTGTGAACTGAAGTTCGACACAGGATTAGATATGTTCCTTGGACAAATCCTATCTTTACTATACATCACTCATCTTTCAGCTTGATTTACATTGTCAAAATAAGCAGAACTATGGACATATTTTTACATAGGACCCATTTGTTTTTTCTTAGAATCAACAGTTCAGAACAGCTGCTAGTGACATGGTTTGTATTTTACATATTTTTGATAATGTCATGTAAGTTGATAAAGTGCAAAATATATATAATTATGCAAAAACAAGACATAATAAATCAAGTCGTAGTAAATTAACTTAACAACATAGGGACTCTATAAAAAATAATTGCTGTATGAATATTTCAATAATTAGTAACATAAATAATACGATGATAAGATATATAATCAGATTAGACAAAATTTAAGACTATCAAAACTGGGAAACACTAGTGTGATGGGAAATTCCCCTCTCATGAAGGAATTTCTTGATATTTCTTTTAAATGCAAATTCATTTCAAAAATTTAAAACAGTTTTAATTAATTTCTCCTGATATCATATTGCAATCCTTGATAACATTATGATTATGATAATATATTTCAGATTGTTTATTCTTAACAGATAGTACAACCGAACCTGCATTTGAAGATAACCTACTATGATAATTACTACATTAAAGTTAGACCTACGTAGAAAGTTTTCATCAAGATAATAAGGGGATCGCCTTGATAAATATATCTAAGATATCAAAACTGAGAGACTGTATGAAATATGTGGAGATAACGAACAGTATTCGAGCTCAAAAGTCCATTTAACATTACAAAACAGGAGCAGAGCAAACACGGACCTCTAAGACATCAGAGGTGGGATCAGGTGCCATGGAGGAGTGAGCATCCCAGGCTGACCGGTCACACCCGCCGTGTGCTCCTTGTCATGATCGAGAAATAACGGAAAAGCATGCTCTACGTATGAACAATTTTTAAAACGAGGAAAGTTATTGACAAACAAGTTGATGAAACAAGAATATCAGCAGTCTCGTTTAAAGTCATAATTTCGTAAATTCTATGGTCGATACATTGACCTTGTCAGCAACTACAATCTATCATTAAGTCAAATGCTGACAGACTTTTTTCATACTAATTGTTAGGCAATTATTTACTCACTGAATGGTCGACGGATTTTCCCGTTATTTCTCGATCATGACAAGGAGCACACGGCGGGTGTGACCGGTCAGCAGGGGATGCTCACTCCTCCATGGCACCTGATCCCACCTCTAATGTTTTAGAAGTCCGTGATTGCTCTGCTCATTTGTATCATTTGAATGGACTTTTGAGCTTGAATACTGTTCATTATCTCTATATATTTCATTTGTAAGAGAGAAAGAAAGGTTTAATTCATTTCTATACTGTAAAGATATTCACCAGAGAAATAGCTATAGTAGTTTATTTCAGATAAATAATGCATCCAATATATAGCCATATTTGCAAATCAGGTTTGTACGGGAAATTCCGGTGGTGTTAAACACCAGTATTTCCCGTCCTGGTAAATACTTAAAACTTTTTCTAAACTGGGAAATACATTACATGTGTACTTTTATTTCTGTTTATTTTCAATGAATTGAATTATTCAGAAATAAAATATAGGTAATAAACATAAAACAGAAGTTGAATATGTCTCAAACTTTAATTCAACAGTACTATGTATCACCACTCCAGGTTCTCTTTATTCCTGTAAGCAATCTGTAAGAGAACGTATACTGTAAGTCGTTTTAATTCCACGGTGTCAAAATTTCACGATTTCTCAAAAAGTACCAATCGCGATTGTTTTAATTTTACGCTGCAAGAAATTAATTTAAATTTCGAATGAGCATTTAAACGTTTTTAAAAACTAATGATAGCATTCACTATGGGTTTAATTTCGCGGAAGAAATGATGAATCGCGAATATAGTGAAATTAAAACCATCGTGATTATTTGCCAATGTACAGTATTTCCCTGCCTATCTGATAAACAAACTTGAAATTTTCTAATTAGAGTTTCTTTTCACCTTTGTGTTATTAATTAACCCAAGAACAAAATAAATTTGTGTTTATCCTTTTGGCTTTTTTGCTGACGTGTTTCATATCCATTGTTTGGCCTTTATTTTAATACTAAATTTGACTATGGAATATTCCGTCAATGGATTAATCTGTTATAAAACAGCATGCTAAATTGTAATACCTACAGTGATTATAAAAGGAAAAGGTGAAGAACAACGATCGATAAAAAAAATATACAAATAATACAAATATTTGAACAGGGCATAAAACACGGACGCTATGGATTTTCAGAGGTGGGATCAGGTGCCTAGGAGGAGTAAGCTTCCCCTGTCGACCTGACACAACCGCCGGAAGCCTTATGTTTTGATCTGGTTGACGGAATATTCAACAATCGAATTTAGTACAAAACAAAAGCCTAACAATGGGTAAGAAACACGTCAGCCAAAATACGACCCAATGATAGGTAATTTTTGCCAACAAGGTCATTATAACGAACATTGAGTTTACAAATGCTGACTTTTAATGATGTTGTTGAAATCCCTGTAACATCAACTTATTTGCCAGTAGATTGCATCGGTTAAAAAATTGATCGTACTCAGAGCTTGATCTTGAATATCAAATAAGTTGGGAGACTAAACACCATATGCAGGTGATAACGGAATATTACTACATAAATAAAGAAAGTTGATGATGGAAAAGCTAAGTCATCTTGTTTGTCATACAATTAAGTTGTTAGCTGGTCCCTATCGTCTATAATCAGTAAAACATTCAAGTATGAAATATATCGATGTGGCAGACTCTGTGGTGACTTTCATTTCGAGTTCACTAGGATATATCGAGTCGGCATATGCATGGAAGTAACAATTGATAAAAAGTCATCGATATATTTAAATGTCGAGTTTAGGGCCAAAGCAAGTGGTCTCTTCTTCTCATGTAAAAAAAAATTGAATAAATTCTATTATATAGGAATATATTCTATGTAAGAAATATTGCAACCTAACCCTCGAGTACGTAAAATGATGTGGTGAAAATTTATTTTTATATCAGATGTTTCTCATTTTTTGTTGTCCAACAACTTGTAAAAAGCTTCCAAGAGAAAACTGAGAAGAAGATTTTTCTTATATATTTCAAAACTCATTGTAAAACTCACACCCCTTTTTGTAGCACCACCATACCCCCGGGGTCATGATTTGAACATGAATTTACACTACCTCAGGAAGCTTCCACATAATGAAATATGAAAATAACGAATAGTAATCAAGCTCAAAGTTCATTGAAACAATACAAATCTGGAGCAGAGCAAACCTGACCTCTAAAAAACATCAGAGGTGGGATCAGGTGCCATGAAGGAGTAAGCATCCGCCGTCGATCGGTCACCCCACGGTGTGCTCATTGTCTTGATAAAACAAACAGGAAAATCCGTTGACAATTCAATGTTTACATAATGGTTTAATAACCAGTATGAAAAACATCAGCCAGCATTCGACTTAATGATAGATTGTACTTGCTGACAAGGTAATTGTATTGATCATAGAACTTGCGAAATGATGACTTTAAACAAGACTATTAATATCCTTTGTTTATCAACTTGTTTGTCAATAGCTTGCCTTGTTTCAGAAATGTTCAATCATGGAGCATGCTCTTGTGTATCGAATCAACTGGGAGTTATAAACCCCAGATGCAGGTGGTAAGGATACATGTATTGCTAAAGAAGTAAGGGAGTTCGAAGTTGACGATAGAAAAGTTGAAGTCATCACGTTTATGATTAAGTTTTGTTTTTAGGTTACCATTAACGTCTTTTTTCTAGTACAATATCCAAATATAAAACAGATGTGTCAGAATCTGATGTATCTTTCTTTTTCAAGTTTACTGGGACATATCGAGTTGACATACGACTGGAAGTAACTACTAGTAATGTTTATTGATAATACATCGTCGATATATCTAAATGTCGAGTTGAAGGCCACAGAAATTGTTTTCTTCTTCTCATGTTTATCCTAGTTCATTTGCAAACAGTCCATGCACTTCCTTTGATTAGCTACTAATAATATAAAATTAATTTTTAAGCACCTCGCTAGTTCAATGCATTTTTATTCAGCACGTAGGAAATATTGAATGCTGGTTTTAAAAGATAATTTTTGATTTTTACTAATTTTAAAGAATTTTTTTCGAACATATATATCGATTTAAAAAGAGTGACTTTCAATATATGTCCAATCATGTTTCTTAGTAAATGTAAAACATTTGAATAAGATAGATAAACATACACCAGTCCTTGAAGGTGTTTAAAATATTGAACAGTCCTCTTAAGAATTCATAGGGGATTTTTTTTTCTTTTTGGAGTAAATACTTTTCTCGGTAAGTACATAGAATGAAATACAAACAGTTGCTTTAAAATGATAATATTTTATAACTGTGCAAGTAGACTTTGCAGCACTTACATGCCTTGACCTGCATTAAATAATAAATTTTATCTGTATACGTATATATATATGTCTGCTTTTTTGGAAAGCCATGATTCTAGCTTGCTATTTACTTCAAATAATTTGGCATTAATTTCTTATAAAATAAGATTTTTAAGTAATTATTATTCAACTGCTTTTTGTTTAATTAGATAGAAAAAAAAAATGCACCCAAAACTAACATGAACAGATGTGTCAACACGATTATGAATACCTGCACCCAGAATTTAAAGCGCTTCTAATATTTATCTGTAACTGTACGTATACTCTCGAAAGTTCAATTGAGATAGGTATGTTTAAATGCAGACCCCGATTTAAAGGTGTATTCCGTAAACCGTTTTGTCTGATTTTTCCCTAAACAATAATCTTTAAAAAAAAAAAATGCTTTCTCATTTGAGTAGAAAAATTTGTTTGTTGTAGTGAAAGACTGTTGAATTTTTCTGCTGGAGACTTTTTCCTTCTTCCAATATGTTAGGAGCTAATAAATTATTTTACATATAAAATTTCTTGTGTTATTAACATAAATGTTTATATATCTTTCTGTGTTTTCAGACCCTAGCGAGCTCTTGGACTCTCTCTCTCTCATTTCTTAATTTACCCCTTGTGAAGTGGATGTTTAATTGACTATAAACTCTAATTGCGTCACTACCAACAACTTTAAAACTACAATGTATATGACAGTCTATATTGCAAATGTAACCTATCGTTAGGTCATGTTTTTGTAGGGATGTCAATTTATAATCGGTTACTCAATCGGAACATTGGTAATCGGTTAGAAAATCTATAACCGGTTAGTCGAAAAAAAAAATCATATATGTGTAAATTTGAACATAATATCCTGAAAATTCAATCAAAAAATATAATTGAAAATATATGAAATATTAGCATTTTCACCTATCTATTTCTTAGGCTTATTCGGAGATAATTAAGGCTCTCTTTATTGACATCGTAGGTGTAATTAGTCAGCTTTCGATTCCCTCTTCCAATTTTGTTTTGCTCTGAATTCAGTTAAACTTAATCATTAGATTTTCATGCATTACCTCAATTTTAGTCATGAAGACGTTGGCGTTTGTTTTACTTTTTGGAGTACCCTGCTTTGGATTTGAACCATTATCTCCTGACAAGACATGCCCGAATTTGACAATACCAGAGTTCTATATGGGCGATTTCCTTGATACGTGTAAGGAAGGTCAGACTCCTCACTGTCTACTTGATGACCAAAACAGACATGGACGGGTGTGTGTAAAGGTGGAAACCATCCCCCAAGGTAACCAACAGCAAAAGTCAGTTATACAGTAGACCAACAATAAAGGTCTCTAACATGTAACCAAAAGTAAAAGCCCCTCACAGGTACTTGTAATCAACAGAAAAAAGTCATGTATTTGGCTCCATCTTTGGATCTCCCTTTTTTCAGCTCTTCAATTTTTTTTAATTTAAATATTTCGGATTTCCAACGTTTCGGTATGAGCATCACTGAAGAGACATAATTTGTTGAAATGCGCATCTGGTCCATCCAAATTGGTACTGTATATGATTTACATTACAGATAACCAAAAACAAATGTCACTCATAAAGGTTGCCTACAGTAAAACTCGTACAGGTAACCATATATACAGGTAACCAACAACAAAAGTCACTTATACAGGAATTCAACAGTAAAAATCACTGAGACAGATAACCAACAATAAGTCACTTATACAGGTAAACAACAACAAATCACCTATACAGGTAACCAACAACAAAGTCACCTATACAGGTAAACAACAACAAAGTCACCTATACAGGTAAACAACAATAAATTCACCTATACAGGTAACCAACAATAAAAGTCATCTATACAGGTAAACAACAATAAAGTCTCCTATACAGGTAACCAACAACAAAGTCCCCTATACTCTTAACCAACCATAAAGTCACCTATACAGGTAACCAACAATAAAGTCACCTATACAGGTAAACAACAACAAAGTCACCTATACAGGTAAACAACAATAAAGTCACCTATACAGGTAAACAACAATAAAGTCACCTATACAGGTAAACAACAATAAAGTCACCTATACTGGTAACCAACAGTAAAAGTCACCTGTACAGGTAAACAACAACAAAGTCACCTATACAGGTAACCAACAACAGGTCACCTATACAGGTAAACAACAACAAAGTCACCTATACAGGTAAACAACAATAAAGTCACCTATACAGGTAAACAACAATAAAGTCACCTATACAGGTAACTAACAACAAAGTCACCTATACAGGTAACCAACAATAAAGTCACCTATACAGGTAAACAACAACAAAGTCACCTATACAGGTAAACAACAACAAATTCACCTATACAGGTAACCAACAACAAAGTCACCTATACAGGTAAACAACAACAAAGTCACCTATACAGGTAAACAACAATAAAGTCACCTATACAGGTAAACAACAATAAAGTCACCTATACAGGTAACCAACAATAAAGTCACCTATACTGGTAAACAACAACAATGTCACCTATACAGGTAACCAACAATAAAGTCACCTATATAGGTAACCAACAATAAAGTCACCTATACTGGTAAACAACAACAAAGTCACATATACTGGTAACCAACAGTAAAAGTCACCTGTACAGGTAAACAACAACAAAGTCACCTATACAGGTAAACAACAATAAAAATCACCTATACAGGTTACCAACAATAAAGTCACCTATACAGGTAAACAACAACAAAGTCACCTATACAGGTAACCAACAACAAAGTCACCTATACAGGTAAACAACAACAAAGTCACCTATACAGGTAAACAACAACAAAGTCACCTATACAGGTAAACAACAATAAAGTCACCTATACAGGTAACCAACAGTAAAAGTCACCTATAAAGGTAACGAATAATAAAGACACCTGTGCAGGTAATCAAAAATAAAGTCACCTATACAGGTAACCAACAATAAAAGTCACCTATACAGGTAACCAACAATAAAGACACGTGTACAGGTAAAAAACAATAAAAGTCACCTATACAGGTAACCAACAACAAAGTCACCTATACAGGTAACCAACAACAAAGTCACCTATACAGGTAAAAAATTTACAACAAAGTCACCTATACAGGTAACCAACAATAAAAGTCATCTATACAGGTAAACAACAATAAAGTCTCCTATACAGATAACCAACAACAAAGTCCCCTATACTCTTAACCAACCATTAAGTCACCTATACAGGTAACCAACCATAAAGTCACCTATACAGGTAACAAACAACAAAGTCACCTATACAGGTAAACAACAACAAAGTCACCTATACAGGTAAACAACAACAAAGTCACCTATACAGGTAAACAACAATAAAGTCACCTATACAGGTAAACAACAATAAAGTCACCTATACAGGTAACCAACAATAAAGTCACCTATACTGGTAAACAACAACAATGTCACCTATACAGGTAACCAACAATAAAGTCACCTATATAGGTAACCAACAATAAAGTCACCTATACTGGTAAACAACAACAAAGTCACATATACTGGTAACCAACAGTAAAAGTCACCTGTACAGGTAAACAACAACAAAGTCACCTGTACAGGTAAACAACAATAAAAATCACCTATACAGGTTACCAACAATAAAGTCACCTATACAGGTAAACAACAACAAAGTCACCTATACAGGTAACCAACAACAAAGTCACCTATACAGGTAAACAACAACAAAGTCACCTATACAGGTAAACAAAAACAAAGTCACCTATACAGGTAAACAACAATAAAGTCACCTATACAGGTAACCAACAGTAAAAGTCACCTATAAAGGTAACAAATAATAAAGACACCTGTGCAGGTAATCAAAAATAAAGTCACCTATACAGGTAACCAACAATAAAAGTCACCTATACAGGTAACCAATAATAAAGACACGTGTACAGGTAAAAAACAATAAAAGTCACCTATACAGGTAACCAACAACAAAGTCACCTATACAGGTAACCAACAACAAAGTCACCTATACAGGTAAAAAATTTACAACAAAGTCACCTATACAGGTAACCAACAATAAAAGTCATCTATACAGGTAAACAACAATAAAGTCTCCTATACAGATAACCAACAACAAAGTCCCCTATACTCTTAACCAACCATTAAGTCACCTATACAGGTAACCAACCATAAAGTCACCTATACAGGTAACAAACAACAAAGTCACCTATACAGGTAAACAACAACAAAGTCACCTATACAGGTAAACAACAACAAAGTCACCTATACAGGTAAACAACAACAAAATCACCTACACAGGTAACCAACATAAGTAACTTATAAGGTAACTAACAAACAAAACTCTTTTATAGGTAACCAATAATAAAAGTCACTCATACATGTAACCAACAGTAAAAGTCACTGAAATAAATAAATAAGTAACCAATAATAAAATACTATAACGTCGTCTAAAACTTTATTCCCCTGTTTCCAATTTTCTTCATTGAAACACAAGCAAGAAAAATACAGTCTTTGGTTTTTTTTTTAATTTTACACACAGGAGAATGTCCGTTTTACAATACTAAGAAGGGTAAGATGGAGAGGCGGAAATGTATTGGGGAGGATTGTCCTAAGGAAGATATACCGTCCACTGCCGCCGTTCTATGTAAGTGTACTGAAAAACAGGTGCTTGTTTGTACTGAATATACATAAAGATAAAGTTCTTCCAACTCAGTGAATCATTTCCTTTTCATACATTGCAATATCATTTATATGAATTACATGTGTGAAGAATTAAAAGTAAACCAGTTGTGTAGATAAGATAAATTCAAACACATGAGTTTATCCTGAGTCTCGAATGTATTTTACCTTAGAATAAGTATATATGAAATTCTGTCTAAATCTGACGTCAACTATATTTCAATAACGTTTCCCGTTCTACACGAAGGTAGAGATGGGATGCATATGGTTAAAAAAAAGTTAAATCGATGACAAAAAGTTCTTAGCTCATTATCCTAGATCTTAAATAAAGTCCCCATATACATGTACATATGTGATGAAAAATAAAATCGATTTTTTCAAAATTGTTTATGCATACTTCCGTCTCCTTTGTTTATGTGGAGCGGAGTGGATCAGAAACCCTTGACTTGGGAAGATGGTCTCCTATATGCAATTTATTTTTCCAAGGCTTATGTCGTCATGCAATAAAATTATATCAACATACATCATATTTTTCAGCATGCAACAAGCAAGTTCACACGCAAAAAGAAAATGGGTGCAAAAAGAAAATGGGATCGAATTAGGAAATTTTCATAAAATATCGAATATCTCCCACGCGGGCTTTACAATATGCAACATATTAATGTTGATATGCAACTTATGTCAAAATATAAGTTATTTAGGTCGACATACAACAGGATGCAAGAATCCCTATAATTTTCAATGAAAAAAAATTGTAGTTCGTGTCAACATAAATAAGTTGATGTCAACATAAATAAGTTCGACAATTTCGACATAAATTAGTTGCATTTCGACAGAAGTATGGTGCATGTCCATATACACATGTTTCATATCCATATAAATTACATAAAGTTGCATGTTAACATTAATAAGTTGCTCCTTGCATGTTGGATGTTGGGCAATATTGTTCTGTTAACATTTTTCTAATTCTTATCTCATTTTCTTGTATGTCACCCTTGTTATGTTGCACGTTGCAAGTATTTATTTTGCAAGTTGACATAATCTATAGAATAATAACTTGCATACAGGGGACAGAAATATGCACCATACTACTCAGCGCCTATGACATTTCTTAAACATACAATAAGGTTAGATCTTTAGGATCTGACACTCGAAAAAAGAGTAACAATTGTAAAATATTAGCTGCATAAGAGTCATTTGAATTAACGTCCTACGTTTCATCTTTATCTTTACAAGTACAGTTAATTTTAATACGTTTGGGCCAAGGATAAATTGCAGACTGAACAAACGTGTGCAAATTAACTTTCAGTTAGAATTTCTAATAAAGCAGTGTAATTACACATAGGAAAAAACAACAACTGACAGAAGAAAGCTGTAAACCCAATCTTCCTCCTATTAAAAAATAGACCATGACAATTTTTGAATTATACAATAAATTGAACGGTATCGTCCATTCGGTACATTAAGTGTTTATCGTCTTTTAGAGTAATCTCGAGCATGCCCTATTAATCATTTGGCAGGTTCGATCGCCATTGGCCAGATATGGCACGCCGATTGCTTCAAAATTATTTTCTGCACGACCTTAAACAAAAATTACACGAGTAAGTAAAAACTTACACAAAGTGAGGAAAATATACACGAAGTTATTGAAATTTACACAAACTATAGAAAAACTGCACAATCAACAAAATATTTACACGATATAGTGAGAAAATTACACAAACGTAAAAACGAAAACTGCACGAGTGAGAATACAACATCGACATAATATGCAACGCATCCTCATTGCGCACATTTCATTAATATTCATTAGAGAACAGGTCAATGTGGCTTGGATGCTTGAAACATACTATAAATACAAAAGGAGGAGTAAAGTGTTAGTAATCTTTTTTAAAAAGATTCTTTTAACGACGACGGACCTAATTCATTTCTGCAATAGATTTTTTTATTCAAATTTTAATATGAGGTAATGTGGCTTTTGGTGAGTTAAAATCAATAAAAAAAAAACAAAACATATGGTCATCCAAATATAGCAGTAAAGATGCATTTAGTTTATTAGAAATTGAACTACAAAACATGTTAAAAAATGACAAACACTTAATTTTAACAGGTGATTTTAATGCCAGGACCGGAACAGGATCTGAAATCCATCCTGTTGTATACGAAACCACAGACAAATTTAATGATATTTTTGAAGAATCACAAAGTGAATTTAATTTAACATCAGAACATGTAGAGCGTAATAATGTTGATAAAATACAAAACTGCTATGGCAAATTGTTATTAGAATTTTGTAAGACAAACAATTTATTAATAGTAAATGGTCGAATTGGAGATAATATAAATGGAAAACCAACATGTAAAAGCACAAGTACTGTAGATTATTTTATATGTAACTACGGCTTTTGGAATTATATAGAAAACATGCAAGTTTTGGAGCATAGTTCACTGTACTCCGACGTACATAACCCCCTTGTTTTAAGTATAAATAAACACGAATTAATAAAAGAAATGAAAACAAATGTTTCTACAACTGATCTAGAAATGATAAAGCCATGGGATCCGGAGAAAGAAAATACTTTTATTCAAGCTATCAACAAAAATCGCGTCGAAGAAATGATATCAGACATAGACCAAGCAATAAATTCCAGTGAAAACCCAGAGGAAATTGTCAACAATATTGTAAATGAACTAAATAAAAATTATATTAATGCAGCTAAACAAGCTTTAGGAGTAATTAAAGTGAACAAAAATAAAACGACTAAAAGCATTCATAAAAATAATAAGCCATGGTTTTCTACAGCTTGTCACAAAGCGAGAAAAAAATACCGAAATAGCAAAGTTTATTATTTCAGGAAACGTTTGCAAAATGATAAAGAAAATTATAAAAACAAAGAAAAGGCTTATAAAAAAGTGTTAGACAGAGATAGCTGAATCTGCCGAGCACTTACAAGCAAAAATTAATTGTTTTGAAAAATATTGCAGAAAATGGAATTTGAAGATTAATATTAACAAAAAAGTTTTGATAATAAGTAAAGGAAAGAAAAAAGAAAAGCCTGAGTTTAAATACGGCGAACAGTTGATTGAAGTTGTAAATGAAATTAATTATTTGGGTATTTTATTTAGTACGTCAGGTTCTTTCAAGGAAGCAAAGCAGAAACAAGTTGACAAAGCAAATAAAGCAATATTTGAAATTCTTAAGAAAGGCCGCTTACATAATCTATCAATACGATGTCAGTTAGACCTGTTCGATAAAATTGTTCAGCCTATATTGTTGTACGGATGTGAAGTATGGGGATTTTCGAACAATGCAATTGTAGACAGAGTACATCTAAAATTTTGTAAATTACTTCTTAACCTTAAACAATCTACTCCGGACTGTATGGTGTATGGTGAACTCGGTCGACATCCCATGTCCATTGAAATACAAACGCGTATTATTTCCTATTGGTGTAAACTTAAACTTGGAAAAGAAACAAAAATATCAAGTCTGCTGTTTAAATTAAGTGATACTGTAAATCAAAAGACTAAGAAGATTGCTTGGATAAATAATGTCTTAAATATCTTAAACGATTGTGGACTTTCAAATATTTGGAACAGTCAAGCCTTCAATCCAAATTGTTTAAGAGCGAAAGCAAAACTAACTTTAATAGATCAATTTAAACAAAAATGGAATTCGGATGTTCAAAATTTATCAAAGACCCTAAATTATAGAATATACAAAGACGAACTAAAATTTGAAAAAATATTTAGAAATTCTATCACGAAAAGAAGCCATAAATTTCTGCAAATTCCGTACTTGTAATCATTATTTGCCAATTGAAACTGGACGTTGGTTAAATGAACCAAGAGAGATTAGACTATGTAAGAAATGTCAATTAAATGAAATAGGAGATGAATTCCATTACATATTAAATTGTACGTCAATGACACGTGAAAGAAATAAATGTTTAACACAAAAACAATTACGATTCAAAAATACAATTACATTTAGAGAAATAATGAATTCAGATAAACAGTCATTTTTAAGAAAACTGTGTATATTTATAAAAAAAATTACTAAAACGTGCTCCCCAAACTAGTAAAGACCTCAACCTATAATTGTACTATTTGTCTATCCTTATACTCACGCATGCCATATATGTGTTTTTATTTTTCATCATTGTAGTTTACATTTATATCTCGCTATACAATTGTAAAATTGTGAAGAGATCAATAAATTCAGTTCAATGTAGATTTTTAATGGGGAGCGGTTTCAAAAGTTGGCAATGAAAATCGATAATTACTATAGGAAGTAATGGGAAATTGGCAGTGTAGGGTATGAGTGATCATGAAAAAAATTCTGCAATAGAATATTTATTCATATTAAAGGACAATGTTAACAAGACAATTTACCAGCAAATTATGCCAAAAAATAAATGGGTCATCGGCTTAGATTTTTCAGGGGGGCATGTCAAACTCAGGTGTAGGGCACATTTTGGGGGAAATTTTCAATGAAAATACCTTGACAAAATAAATCATTTATTTATGAATATAAATCGAAATATTTACATTTTTGAATTGAGAGGAAACGTTTGAATCTTTAAAAGAATTTAAAATGTATATTTTTTTTTTAATTTTTTGCAATACATAATAAAGTCAATTTGATTCTAGGCATATGCGCGGTTTTCTGCGCAGTGGCGTGAAATTTCGAATTAGGTCCGTCGTCCTTAAAATTCCGCTAGACTCTCGAGAATATGTACAACGTATATTATACATGTAGATAAATTGACAGGCACACAATCTTAAACTTGTAGTATATGAATACTCCCGAATAAAAAACATTCTACAAAGAATACATGTATAGATAACGTAAAAAAAAGGGGGGTGCATATTACACTTGTGTTTAATTGTTGGATTTTTTTTTTTAGTAGGTCATTCCTCTATATAGCAATTTCTTTTGAAAGTTTAAAACAATGACATATC